TAAAAACGGTCCGTGCAGCGCGGTTCAAACGAGTTGCTCTCTTCCGCTTTTGACGCGTTTAGGAATTTGCGTGCGCTAAAGAAATGAGAGCGCATATGAGTTATCAAATTGATATCACTCGCGTTTTACTGCTACGTCTGGTCTAACATTTAGTGCTGCCATCTTGTGTTGACATTTTGAAACTGCATAGGCCTATTTTGTAAATTATGCTTGGCGGGCCATATATAATATAGACTATTAAGACAGCTGCGGGCCGCTTAAAATTCATCCACGGGCCGCATTTGGCCCGCGGGCCGTAGTTTGGACACCCCTGCACTATACACTTAAAATAACAGCATCATTTGGGTATTTGAACTGAAGTACACTTCTTGTTGAATTTTTTGGGAGTGAACACACTTCTCACAGTATTTAAAGTAAATAGGGTGATGTACGTCCTCTTTTTCCTGGACGTCCTGGTTGGATTTTTTTTTTATTGCCTAAAATGCCTGGGATTTGGCTGTTTACGTACTGTTTTCTTCATTGCTGAAGGTAATAACTGAAAAGCAGTTTGACCGGAATGCAGGCGTTGTACATAATCAACCATGTGAAGGACACGTCGTGGCGTGGCGAGAAGGTGGGATCTACAGAGAATGGTCAAAGCAATGCAAATACACATTCATATAGGCTGCATCCAAAAGTTGAAAAAAAAAAAAAAATGTTGCCTCTGCAGGCACCACAACAGAGGTAGGAAGGCAACAAGGCCTGTCCAGATCCAGCGATCATGTCACATTCTGTCCACTAAGATTCTTTAATTTGATTGATTTTTAATGGCAGAATAGATGCATCCTTCACTCGTAGAGCTAAACATAAAGATGGCTTCTGACAGTTGCAGTTCGTGGTCAGTTTGTACATAAATTTAGGTTTTGACCAACTTTTTCCACTTGTGATGTAATATGTAGTGAGAAATTAGTATTTAAATGTTCCCTTAACCCCAAAACAAACAAAGCCAAAACCTGGACATTTTAGAGTCAATTTGGGGTAACACTTTAGTATAGGGACCAGTTCTCACTATTAACAAGTTGCTTATTAGCATGCATATTATTAACATAGTTGCTTTTTACATACTTATAAAGCACACATTCTGCATGACCATATTCTACATCTCTATACCTAAACTTAAAAACTACCTTACTAATTAATAATAAGCAGCAAATTGGGAGTTCATTGAGGCAAAAGTCGTGGTTAATGTTTTGTTAATAGTGAGAATTGGACCTTAAGACAAAGTGTGACCAATTTAGAAATCCCAGCCTGGACATGTCTGGGGAAAAGAAGGATGTACGGTCAACCTAACGTATAGTGTACAATACACACATTTGGACGCACCTCTTGTTTTATACAGAAACTATGGCTACAAGTTAAAATAATTAATCACAATTTTACAAAACATTGCTCTTTTTTAATGGAAGAAAACAATAAATATGTAACAAAGCTGTTGTATTGAAGACGTTTTTCAAATGCACAATTTGTTACTACGGACGTTAACTTAAACTTGCTAGTCAACCTGTAACTCAAATGTTTTAAATCAAATGTTAGTTGCTAAGGGGACACATTTAAAAACAGTCATTTTAATTGCTAAGTGACTTAAAATGTAATTCATTTGAAATAATTTTTTTAAGAAATGTTACATTTGTATAGTAACTTTTACGCAAGCCCCCTAGTGGTTGTTGCGATTTTTAAGTGTGGCTTATAGGGTATAGTTAATAATATTGCTAATTTAGACGTGAAATTAACTTGTTAAAAGCTAAAATTACATTATATTGACTTACATCAACATTTTGACTTATGTGACAAGAAAACATATTAAGTATGTTATGGTCTTATAATAAATGATCGACTTAATTTCCATTAACTTTTTTTGTCTATTGGGAAAATAAACACTTTTGATTAATATTAAACTTCTATGAATAATTTCTATAAAATAACTTGAGAGTAAAAAAAGTGCTTTAAAAAACTAAACAAAAATACTTTAAAATATTCAAACATTATTGTTTTATTTTTTTAGTTTGTCCAAAGTCTGTTGAGTTGAGTTTTTGTTGAGTTTATTGTCATTGTATGGAAAAGGTCTGCTTGAAGATTGTTTAAAACATCCTTTTTTTTGTTCCTCAGAATAAAGTAAATCGTAGCTTTGGCTTTGGGACGTCATGAGGCTGAGTAATGTAGAGTGAAAGTCTCCAATTATTTTTTAGGGGCCACTGTATGAACTTCTGCCATTGTTGTTGTTTTTTTTCACGCCTAGTTTATATGTGGCCACTGTCTTCCTCCTATGTGGCTTCAGAGGCAGAGGCTTAATGGCCTGTTGCTGGCACTGGCAGTAATACTTTGCGGGGCGGCTCGGGTCACGGGTTTGGTGACAGTTTCCATGTTTGTTTAGACACACGCAGCTGGTGGCTGCCACCTCTCCTGTGACTCCACCCAAACTGGAACCCAAACTGCTGTAAGCTTAGTATTCACACAGCTTATTCTCCAAAGCCTCAAAAAAGGACGCTAAGTCTTTCAGCTTGTGCCAAAACTAAATTATTGAAAGAGACTGGTAAATGTGTACACAATGCAGCAACAATTAATTGTAATTCACATGTAAGAATTAGCCCCAATGGCACAGCTTACACTGAAAACTTTCTTTTTCGAAGTTAAATAAAACAAAGATTATTTGGAGTACGTACAAGAAAATACTTTTTCAGTCTTTCATGTTTAATTCAACGTGTTAGTTGGCGATTCTCAATTCTAATTATTTATGAGATTTATTAGCAATTTCTGAGTACAAATTGTTTTTACACCAATATTCTTTTTTTAGTGTACCACAAATATATAATTTTTTATCCACTCAGCTCTGTTTATAGTTATTTGTAAAATGTATTAGCATTTTCTAAGTGAAAATTTCACCATGAAGTACATGTATGATTTTCTCCTGTGAACAAACCAATATATTTTGAAGAAGAACGGCTCAAAAATGGCAAAAAGCAACATGAAAATGCCATAAATGCATGACAATCCAAGTCTTCTGAAGACATACCATAAATCTGTGTTTAGAAGAGACGGAAATATAACCCGTTATTCACTGAAAATGTTCTCCTCCACAACAGCTCTTATATTTAATTCATGTTTAAGACATTCAGTTATAGCGCCTCGTCAAGTCTGATATAATTTGCTATTTTAAACCAACTATTACTTTAATGTTTGCTTGAGATCAGCTGCATGTATTTATCATGTATGTAGCGTCTGGACCAATCAAAAACACAATTTTTCATTTGATTTAACAAATCAATTATTCATTAGATTAACAAACGTTCACAGGCCCCTCACCCAATAAACATACTGGGTGCCAAGTTGTCTGTGAACAGGGCCCAGGACCCTGGTGTCACAAAGCAAGGCCAGACACAATAGGTAAGTGCAAAACAGGATGGTTTATTGACTGGGTAAGTGGATG